GGGGGGGGGGGGGGGGGGTAAGCTTGACACTTACGTAACGTATATTTTTTTTTTCGACCCTTCCCGTGCGAGTTAACCATGTGTTCGGATTCCGCTATTCTACATAAGGGAGATACGAGAAGCATCTATTACCCTCAAGAAGAAAGAAAAAAAGAAACGAGAATAAGAGGGTTGATTTCCCTACCAAATATAGTTGACAGTAATATGATATTTTCTTCCCTTAAAATAACGACGTGTCTTGGTTGAAAAATAAAATTAATTTTTGTATTAATTAAAAAAAATATTTTTTAATATTTATCGAGAGTAAAGGTGATTGGGCTTAACAAAATTTGACAGCTGTCAACGATATATCTATAATGTATATGTGGAACGTGTCGCGTGTAAAGTGTATCCATCGAAATCGAACTTAGGTGAGAAAAAAAAAAGGAAAAAATTTCCCGGGTACATGGAAGCGCATGATACGAGCTTAAAAAAAGAAAAGCTTCGTCGTGTTAAGCCCACGTGTCCTACATGAGATAGAGTCACGAAATTGAATAAAGATATAAGAAGCTCCCGATAGGTTAGTGGGTGCACACAATAAATAAAATGGGACTGGAATTTTTGTTTAAAAAATTATGGAAAATAGGAAAAAAAATCGTGACAAAAAAAAGGAAAATTTCGTATTTTCAGCCTAATGAAAGGGAAAAAAAATTTCCTCGTGACGTAAAAATTTTTTACGAATTACATTGATAAGACATAAAAATTTATACAATTTTCATTCCAGATTGAAGCTTTCTCTATACGAACGAGCTTGCACTCCTTACGATGTGCTTATCCAGTATATTACGAATCGAGCAGCTGGATACGTTTAGTGTATCGCGTGACTATTTTATCGTTGCCCGAAGAGTTTTTCCAGCCAAGGCAAAGCACCCTGGTAGTAGCAAGAGAGTCGTAAAGATGTTCTGGGTACATAGAGAAAACAGAAAAAAAATTACCAAAGGGTAGACCACTGGCGCAAGATCCAGCATTCGGTGCATGAAATTGTGCAACTTTATCGTTGCCAAAAAAATGTTTACCTATCATAATTAAACAGCTGATAACGATATCATTTGGATAGTTTAAAAATAATTTTTTTATTTCAGAACGAGAGTGAAAAAAAATATCTTATTTATTGATATTCTTTTTGGTCCAGTGGTCAGCCACCCTAATACGCTCAGCTTCACCCATATATATTTTTTGTGATCAATTTAACAAGCGCGTAATTCAAATTTATGTACCTAAGTCAGCGTGGGGTGTGTATGGTAAAATTGGAGTAAAAAGTGACAGCGAAAGTAGACATTAAGCCAAGACACGTGTCGTTAAGTTGAAATAAATAAGGCAGTTAAAGTCGTATAGCTCTGCCAATAGGAGTGCTGGAAGTATATGAAGTAAGATTAATAACACGTTTAATTTGAATGAACCATGGATTATATATTATTCATGTTTTCGTTTCTTTCTTCCAGAGTGACGTATCGCAGTAAAGTCGTCAACGTTCCAATTAACATTTAAGAAGTGTTATGGAAATAGTAATGCCAAGTGGGAAAAAAAAATCCTGCCGGAAATAAGCTCCAGCTGGTCATTCTCGGGTGGACGCGAGAGAAAGAGAAAAATAGAGGGAGAGCTTAGCTACCTGTTACACGGGGTATTTATGTGCCTATTACGTCATACGTGGACGTACAATCAATATTGATTAGCATAAAAACAGCCGCAAAATGTAACGTGATAAATTACGTTAAATGGACAGAAACAGAAATTAATATTTATTTTAAAAATGAAAAAGCTCTGGCACGGCTCGCGAAAAGCTCCAAAGAGAATACCGACGGGATACGAATATTGCGAGCTTTGCCAAAGCTCTCGATCCTTTGATGAGCTTACGTTATCTTTTCGACTTTCCTAAAGCTTCCGGTCAACCGACTTCGCGAGGACAAAAGCTCGGTTACAACGTGACAAAGCTTTTTAAGCTCCCGTGCCATAAAGATCGACAGTTTAATATGTTATTTACAACTCGCCCGGCGATAGCTGCACGCGTATTGACAAACAAGTCAATAGCTTTTTCCAAAAAGCACAATATAAACTTTAATGCACCATAAGCGCATGCAATTTGATACTCGAACGAGAGCTTTGTGCAATGATAAATTTGTATTTACATTTTTTTTTTAAACTCAGACTATCCGACCTATATTAATCTTTTTCTAGTATCTATGGTATATTTTCAATGGAAAATACGTGATATTTAATAATGTTTTTAAAAAGTACTCGCAACGCGCTTGCAGCCAATTGAAACAGAAGCTGTGCGTAGGCCTTAAGGTCGAAGTGATCGGTTAACAGAGCGAGCGTGTTAAGTGGACAGGTGTAGTAGGTGAGAGACGAAGGGAGGGAGAGCTGGTGTATGAGGTAGTCGTAGTTATGGCGAGGGCAGTGAGGATATAGTGGATACAGTATGGAATGGGGGGGGGGGATGAGAAA